CTGATCAGTTTCAGCAGCAGCTGACTTGGGGATGCCTGGGGTTCTTAAGTTGAATCTGTATGTAAGTCAGAACTGGCGTCCAGATTCAGCCGCTGTTGAAACTGATCAGTTTCAGCAGCGGCTGAATCTGGATGCCAGTTCCGACTTACATACAGATTCAACTTAAGAACAAACCTACAGTCCCTATCTTGTACGTAACCCGGGGACTGCCTGTATTTTTCCGTGAGTAGTTTTGTCCTCCTATTGTGCAATGCCGCTGCTGTTTTCCTGAGCAGTAGGAAATGATTTTGCAGCGCATAATTCATGCTGTTTGGAAGTGCTGATCTTTCTAAAACCGCTCTGAGGTGCATCGCTGGGGTGAGGCGGCAGGGGAGCCTAGCGCTTCCCATTCTTCCAGCAATCTCTGTCTAGCAGGTACTCGCTTGGGAGAGGTTTCTGTGGGGCTCATAGCACCTGTCTGCAGTTGGAGCAGCAGGAAAGGTTCACACCGGAAGAAAGAATCCGGTGTTGGAAATGCAAATACTTAAAGAAGAATGCCCCATGTCAATTCTTCCTGTTAAAGCAATTAATGAGCAACATGTTGCAATATTCTGCTTTTACTCTCTGGGTAGGGGAAAGCAGAGTGTAGTTGGGAAAATGCCCGATAACGGCGTTCTTTTGCTGTCTTTGTGTCTGGAAACGCCAGGCTTATGAATTGCTGTTTTCACCTACAGATAAGTTTTGTGGTTTAACTCCTCTCTTCTTGGAAATGTTGAGCCACGTGCAGTTTCTGAGCTACAGTGCAAATGTTCCTTATCCTCGCCAGAATTTTGGAGATACACATCGAGTAGTAACGTCTGCTGCTGAGCTTTCTGCTTCAGGGGGAGTGAAGGGCTTAGGGTTCTGTTAATGATCATGGGCAATACAGAAATTCTAGAGCAGTGTTTCTCAACCTTTTTAAATAAAGTATCCCCTTTTTTAAAAAAACATAGAAGTACTCCCACTACCTACAGTTTTCAGACACACACACATTTTTTTTTCTGCCATTGCAACACATTTGTTTAAACAACTTAATTGTAGCCGGGCGGGTGATGAAATGTTTGGGTGTAAAAAGTACAAAAATAATAAAGCGCTGTAAAACTTAAAACAAAAATTCAGTTTTCTCCACCTTTCAGCTGTGTTGCTGTACCCCGCGGACTTCTCTCGAGTACTCCAAGGGTACTCGTACCCAGAGCTGGCCCAAGCTACGGGCTGACCGGGCTACCCATTGTAGGGGGCGCTGCACGGGGCTGCCGGACTGGGCGGGGGATCCGCGCATGCGCCCGTGCCCTGTGGGTGGGGCCGCGCATGTGCCGGGCGCCCAGGGCACACGAATGGCTCGGGCCGGCACTGGTTGAGAAACGGTTCTAGAACTAGTTGAAAGACGTTGCGATGGTGTACCAGCTCTGTCGCCCGGCTTACAACCTTTAGCATTGGCCACTTGTCAGGCTTTTCCGAATCCTCTCATCTGTTGTGTACTTCATTCCTTACCTTTTAAATCCTCCTGTCTGATTGTGGGTTTTAATCCACCTACTTCAGGCTTTGCACTCATGACTTGAGGGAAATGTGAGGTTGGATTTTGATGTGATATAGAGCACCATGCGGGTGCAGTTTCTTGAGTATGTGCATAATACCGTTCTTCGTCCCTGAAGCTGTTTCTCGCTGAGTTTGGAGTGCATGTTAACGAAGTTTTCGGAATCCATTTGGAAAACATGATGCGCCTTCGTGGCATCTCTAAGTAACCACAGCGGACTGCTTAAAGTCAGCAATTGATTTTAATCTTCGTTTGCATTTGTGCTCTCTTCTTGGTTTCTTCAAGAGGTAAAGTCTCTTTGTTTTGTGACTGTTACAACATGTTGACTTGTAAGCAAATAAAGCCCTTGGTTATTTTTGCTAACTAGGAGTACGTTCTATCTATGCACGTTAATTTAAAGCTGTATTAGGGGGCTGCGCGCTCTGCTCACTACGCTTGCCTACCCTCCTCTCTGTGGACGCTTTTGCTTCGCTGAAAGAGCCTCTTGGCACTGATGTCATTCTGTTGTCCGGCAGGAAAACCATTTTTATGAGCAAGATAATAGCGTCACAGACATTTATTCAGATTCTTAATTTTTCTGGTTTTTTTTGCTTAGAAAATGAAAAAGGACACATCACAACATTACCTAATGCTTTTTTTAACTTGGAAGTAGGGACGTGAACGACTAGTTGACTATCCAATAAGCAAATGCTTAGTCGACAAGCTAATCGACTAGTCGATATTCCCTCCCCCCTCCCCCCCCGCTGCCTCTATCAAAAAGAGGCAACAAAGGGGGATATGGGGCGGGGGTGGGGGGGAGAGGCGCTGCTGCTTTGAAACCCTGTTCCAGTGGGGGACTGCTTGAGTCCCCTGCTGGCCGCGTTCCCCCCACAGTGCTTTTGCCTTTTGAAGTGTAACAGCCCTATCAACAGCCAATTAATCAAAATTTCACAGCCCTACTTGTAAGTCGCCATGCTGCAATTTGTATGCTAACTGAAATTCCGTTGGAAATATACAACAGCATTTTCAACATGTTGGTATTGGTTAAATAAAACTACCTCCTGTACAGGGGCTCATAAACTACTTTCTATCCGTGTGTTTTAAAACGGGCGTATGAAAAAGAAGTATGTATTAACTGTTAGTTAAATAAAACTACCTCATGTACAGGGGCACATAAACTACTTTCTATCTGTGTGTTTTAAAACGGGCTTATGAAAAAGAAGTATGTATTAACTGTTAGTAAATTGAACTGATGGGCTACAGCCCCAATGTCCTTTAAGATTTTAGAACTAATAGATCTGGTCTGCTCACGTCTGGATTTTATTTGTAGAGTAGAAAAGGGAAAGAAGCGTTTCTGATTTTTCATCTCCCAATCTGTTTCTCAACTTTGGGACCCTGTCACTGGACTTGAACTAGTCAAACTGAAATGAATAAAATGTTCTCTCTGCGTCAGCACAAAGAGTGACTGCTGTCAAAAATGGGTTAGCACTTAAACACACACCCTCTGGTTCTAGGCATTTAACCAGTGACTTCCACCATTTCAGTGGTTTTGACTGTCTTTTGAACTTCAGCAGCAGACTGGTGGTGCTTACATGTGGTTTTTAATTTAATAGATAATAAGTTCAGGCTTTCATAGGTTGTTATAATTTTAAATTGAATATTAAATACATTCAGGCTTGAAGAGAGAAATCCAGGTGTGGTTTTTTTTTTAAATCACTGATTTGTATGTGCCCTGCAGGTAACGCTTCTGAAATGCTGCCCTCTTATTTCATGTAACTAAATTACTGTTTCTGGCCCATATGATAGTGTGAAATATATCACAGGAACACAGCTTGTAAGCGTGGAAAATCCAGTCAGATCCCTTGGCTAGAACAGGCAGCTGTCAAACCTCACACCGGCTTGCCATGTTGAAATACCGAATCTGGTACCTCTCGTTCTGTGTGCGCGATACCGGGTCTCCCGTTGTATTCTGCTCAACTAGTCAGACCGGATTGATGAGTAGTCAGGCTTCAGTTCTCCTGGGATGCCGGGGGGTGTGCACTGGTGTCTTCGACCTTATGCTATGGAAACTACCTTTGTTTTCCCTTTCCTCCTAGGTGCAGAGGCTGTAGCGATGAGTAGTAAAGGCTATCGGCGAGAGAGTTTCCAGAGCAGCACTAGTGATGAAGACCTGGTGGAGATAGCCGGAGGAGCTCTGGACTTCTCCCTGACAGATGACGATCCCCCACTGGATAGAGAGATGTTGGGAGGTAAATTTAGTTCCGTATCCCTAACGTCTGGATGTCGATTTCAGGCTAATGTGTGCTATTTTGTGTAACTGTAGCAAGAGCTGGCTCCTTGGTGGAGGGGCCCGGTTGTGCTGTAAGGGCCATGTGCTTTGCTGGCACCCTCCTATTGTGACACCCGGCAGTATTTTCACCCGGCTGGCTGGCTGCACAGGCTGCTGTAGTAATGGAGAGCAGCCAAGAGTGCACTGATTTGCTTCCATTGGCCTGTCACCAAAAGTAAACAGAGATTGAGTAAGGATTTGAGTGTTGCACAGAGTGCAAGTAGCGGAGTGTTCCTTTAAAAAGGGAAGTGAGGACTTCAAGGACTTGTCTCCTCAGAGCCCTTCTAGACTCTTCACTTATCCCTGGGAGCAATCAGTCAACCAGTCAGTGGCCTGAAACAGCCTGTTGCATGGGTGAAACCAAACAGCATCTCTTGGGTGTTCTTTTACATTGAGATGAGGTTTTTCTAAAAGATCTGCTCTAGGATAATTTTGGGGAGATTTTATGGCGTGTTCTGCAGGAGAGCAGACTAGGAGATCACAGCCAGCCCTGCTGGTCTCGGAATCTCTCAAACGAACTCAGTCTCGTATGGTTAGTGCTGTTCGTGAAGCCATGAATATGCACCTGTATTAGGAGAACTGGAACAGCATACTTAGGCTGGCATAGCCCCACAGCCAATCAGCTGAGAGGTTTTTTCTGTTGGTGTGGGAGCACCCCTCCCCAAAAGACGTTAGCTATGTGGACAGAAACCTCCTTCTGTGAACGTAACTTTCCAGACAGCGGGTTTTGTTCACATAGCTATGTGGGTCCGGGGTGGGTTTTTTCACACTCTTTACTCAGAAAACTTATATTGACATAAGTATGTATGTAGACCAGCTCCAACTTGCAGTTCAGAACCTCCTGTGTGTTGCTTGCTTTCCAGGCAGGTACGCACACCTATCCCTCAACATAGTCTAGTTCTCAAACAGTGGGCGAGATGCAGTCTATGCTGAGGGATAGGTGTGCGTAATATCTCACTATGTCATAATTTTGTCTTTCAGTCTGGAGAGTCAGGTTGTCAGAAGTCAGTTGTCAAAGGCATCAAAAATGATGGAATAAAATCTCAGATTTGTCCGATTTGCTTTAAGGACTGTACTAGGTGCATTTTTGATAACATGTACAGAATTTTGAAAGATAAAATAGTCCTATCAAGGCTGGTGAGTTTATAAGAACTTTTCATTGCTTGCTAACACTTGCAAACCAGCATGATTTGCCAACGGACGGGTAATCATGCCTCTTTCCTATATCTGGGTGGATATTCTATATCCATCCACAGCCATTCTTGGATTTCAGCAAATTTAAAAAATAAGTAACTTTTGACCTCTTGCCGAGCTAATTTAGTGACACTCATTTAGTTATATTCTGTCAGCTAGGTCAAATTTAGAATGAAGAAGGTAGAGAGAATAAAAATATTGTAATGCATGAGATGCATTAATATTCTAAGCAGCTTCCCCCCCTCTTTGTTTGTCTGTGTACTGACGAAGATGGTCAACTGTAGCTACTGTTGTTTTTTCCACTTAAAGGAGCTGGCATGTACACAAACCACAACTGGGTGGAAAGATACACATGAAATCCATAGATGGTTAATGGAACCACTTTAAAGAGGCTGTCTCTGAGATGTATATTTGCTCGGAGCTTGGGCTTAACCATTTAATAAAAATGTGAAAACCCATGTTTAAAATGCCCTTAAATATTTCTTTCAGGGAGCCTTTTCTACTCCTTCCAATGTCGCAGATGGAGCAATATCTGGTGTTTTTTCTGTGTGCTGGGACTTTCCACGGCTCATTTTGCCCATTGGACACCCCCCGTGCACCACTGTGTGAGGACATAGAGAAGTGGATACATTTTGTTTTAGTTTTGCATCTCTAAATTTAAAAAAAGCCAGTTCACAGAGCAGCTGTCTGGCTACACAACCAGCAGCATGGCCAAACTTCTTGGGGGCTTTCCTGGTTGGCTGTCCCTTCCAGAGCGGGGATTGAAACCATATTAACATGCACTGTGGAACTTTCAGTGCAAGGAAGGAGGGTCCATAGGGCAGGCTAATGAGAGGTAGCTTTACTGCTCAGTTACAGATCCGAGCGAGGGCCTTCCCTCTAATCCCAGGACTACGTAATTTTCTTCAGCACTTTTCACGAGGGAACTTGTCAAAATCCAGGTGCGCTATACAAACTGGGCCACCCTCATCCACATACTTGTCGATTCCCTCAAAGAGTTGTAATAGACTCGGGCATGACTTCCCTTTACAAAAATGTTGACTCTTCCTGCACATCCTGTGTTCTGATATGTCTGATAATACTGTGGGTTTTTTTTCGTAATTCTTACCAGTTTTCTTGGCATTCATAGAATACTAGGACTGGAAGGGACCTTGAGAGGTCATCAAGTCCAGTCCCCTGCCCTCACGGCAGGACCAAATACTGTCTAGACCATCCCTGATAGACATTTATCTAACCTACTCTGAAATATCTCCAGAGATGGAGATTCCACAACCTCCTTGGGCAATTTATTCCAGTGTTTGATTACCCTGATAGTTAAGAATTTATTCCTAATGTCCAACCTAAACCTCCCTTGCTGCAGTTTAAGCCCATTGCTTCTTGTCCTATCTTCAGAGGCCAAGATGAACAAGTTTTCTCCCTCCTCCTGATGACACCCTTTTAGATACCTGAAAACTGCTATCATGTCCCCCTCAGTCTTCTCTTTTCTAAACTAAACAAACCCAATTCTTTCAGCTTTCCTTCATAGGTCATGTTCTCTAGACCTTTAATCATTATTGTTGCTCTTTTCTGGACCCTCTCCAATTTCTCCACATCCTTCTTGAAATGCGATGCCCAGAACTGGACACAATACTCCAACTGAGGCCTAACCAGCGCAGAGTAGAGCATTAGTATTGAAGTTAGGCGTATCGGCCTGTAATTGCCAGTAGGGATGTGAAAGTTTAATCGTGCAAATGTTAATAGACAAGGCCAAGCTTATCGATTAATGTTCATGGTGACTTGCAGGCTCCCGCCCCGCTCCAGGGGAGGCAGCTCCCGCCCCTCACTGAGCTTTTTCAGCAGTTGCACGTTTACCCAACTTCCCATTTTTTAACACTCCTAATGCTAGAATTGCCTCTGGTACCCTGTTTTAAAAACTTGGTGTGACATGAACTCCCTTCCAGGCAGCCAGCACAGCGTGAGAGGTCAGTGGGTGCTCACGTCCCACAGTTGGTAGTTACGCGGTTTCAAATTTGAATGTCTTCAGAACTTTGGGGTGCACAGCATCTGGTCCTGGTGACCTGTTGCTGTGGAGTGGATCAGTTAGTTTTAA